TATAGTCTGTTTCATTATGTTTATATTATCGTCTTTCAAACACATACTCGTCACCAAACATTTTCAATTGTTGTGGGCTTATTTAAAAATGACATTTTATCGCAAATACTCAATACGTATCGTAAGACATGAAATCAACAAGAAACCACCCAAGAGTACAAACCGCTGTCGTCCATTTATAACGCCATATGAAATCGATGAATTTACCCAGTATACGGTTGTCCAATATGATTAAGTTAACTAAGTTTTTAAATGTCGAGTTGCACGAAACAGATTTTTAATGTTTCTATTAATATATATATATTTATGTTTCTTCCTCGGTTAAAAGGATGTGATTCAGTACCTGTTCGGTGTGCGTTTTCCTGATGATCTTGCATGTCACTTTGGCCGCTGACCAAAACTGTTTGTGTGTGACCGGATCTACAAAGAAGATTCATACCACTCCCGAAGTTACACGAGAGGTGATAGGCCTCGCAATCAGAGGGGAGTGTCTACCTGTTGCCCACACAAACGACGAAGATTAATCATGGGTTGCTGTTGATTTTTAAAAGAAGATTATATTTCATCAGTTTCATGAAGTAAGTATACTAATAAAGTGATAATGTGTTAGATATTGGGTGTAAAATGTATTGTTGTTCATATACATATAAGGAAATTGGAATATCATAATACTTACTTTGTTAAAAACTTTTCCATATAATCTAAGAAAGAAAAACGAATGTTTTTATCTTAATATAGTCATACCATATACATGTAATAGATTTTCAGTCATAAATGGACTATTTAAAAGCTTAACCCTTTTCAATAAGAATATCTTAAGTGTTACCGAAGCAAAATTGTTCAAGTTAAATAAACTTAATATCGGTTACAACAGTGCTAGTGGCATTAAAAAAGTCCTTGTGATGGTTAAATATAAAAGAAATAACAAAAGAGTTTCTTAGAATCTCAGGAAATTCACTTTATTTTTCATTACATTGTATGTAATTTATTATTAATTTTCTTCTACTTTTTGTGAAATTTATAAATTATATGCTGATTGTTTTCAATATATAATTATAAAGAATTGTGTGGTCCTCTATATAGTATTTCTATCATACGTTTGATCAGACGTTTGTAATTTAAAAAATAACGATGTTAATGTGATAATGTACATATATGATACAAAATAACACAGCCACGGGATGAACATATGAAACGTAATGTATATCTTGTCGCTGTAGACTTTCATTTTACAAATGTTTAAACATTGTAATAGGGTTTTTTACGTGATACATCATTGCAAGTTCTTTTTTTGTACATCTAATAAATAAAATATATTGAGAGAATAATAATAATAACAAATTAACTTTTGCTTCATTAATATGGAAGTAACAACTACAGAGGAAATCATAACAACCGCAAGTGCATCGCATTCTAACGCCAGTACAACCGTCACCAAGGAAACAACACTTATTTCAACGCTGAGGAGATCAGATAAGATAAGATTTAAATCCTTGAGGAGAGGAAGGAAGTTTTTTAAAACCCCAGAAATGACAACCTAGTAAGGATTCCGAAGGTGAACTCCTCCACTTATGGTATAAGATCTTTTCGTTTTGAGGCCTCACGAGTGTATCACAGCTTGCCAAATGAACTTAAGTAAGCTGAGAATTACAAGTCGTTCCGTGGGCTGATCCGTACCTGGGATGGCCAGGTCTCCTCATGTGCTATCTGCACATACCAGGGAGTGTGAGTAGTCCCCCTTTTGGGATCCTTACAACCACGTTTTTTTTACTCGTATTTGGTTTTATTCATGTATGCTATAAGTTGCCTACCTTTTCATGGAGTTCTCCCACTTTTGCTGCAACATGTTTACTCCTTTTATGATTTTTGTGCTTCTTGTTTTTAATAATCTTAATTTTGAAATGTCATGCAGCATATTTTAATCAAATATTTCTTACATAATTTTATAGATCTAAATCTTATCGTAAACTAACATAAATGTACCTTTTAAATCTGACTATATAAGTGTATATCTTGTCAGTTTTTACGTTTTGCTATATTACATATAGGTATATTACACTGTAATTGTGCTTTAACCCTTAATTAGAAATACCTGTGTGACAAACAAGTTTTCAGTACTTCAGTTTTGTTTTATAAATTTAAATCATTATGCTACCTTTCTCTGATTATGTATGTGCTGCTTTGCTTGTGTATTTTGTTTTACTTGTAAAATTGCCTAATTGATATTTGTTTGTCATTTACCTTGTCTTTGTAATTACCTGCATGTGATTGTTATTGTACTTTATGTTTGTCGCAAGAATAGCACTACAGTGCTTATGTGTTTATTGTTTTAAATATGCGACGTTAAATACAATTTCTTCAATCTTGTAACGTGTACCTACTTACTGAAATCAGGTGGGCAAACATAACAATTTGATATTACGTAATTACTACATATAATTTACGGCGTTATTTGTGAGTTAGTGACTGCAAATTATTTTCGTTTCGCTTATGCGTTCTTTTACGAGTCATTTGCCTGTAGCATTTTTTTCGTGAATATTTGAATTTACGATTAAGAGGGTGCTAGTTCATTATTGATAGAAACATGGCCTGATTTAAATTTTTAGATTATTTTTGTTCAATTTGGTTAATATAAAATTTTGTATTTTTCAGCACCACCAGATGTGTGTATATCAAATCTTATATTTAAAAATTAAAAACAAAATAACAAACCATCGTACAGATATGAATTTATTGATTTCTATTAATCATGGTTAACAAGCATACACTATTTTACAAACAAACACCGTAAAACAATGTTATAAAATCATTCACAAAAAACATGTACTGACCAGTAACCAGTAACCAGTAACCCATGACAAAACACAGCACCTTATATTAATAACAAGTATAGTACACGTGGTTATCATAGACAATGTAATAACAAAAAAAATGATAAATACCACTATAAAAGACACGTGAGAATATTCTTTCATCATATCACCTATCCATAAGGTCTTAACAAACCTTAACATGTATTGATGACGTAATACCCTGTGTGACGTCACAAGTAACAATAACTGAGTCATGAATTCACGGTAATTAGTAAAATTGCTTTGTGAATTATTATATTACCAAAGAATGTGTGAATGTTACATAGGTAATCTATATGATGAAAAAATCAAATTTGTTTATATTTCGTCTGACATTTTACAGACTTCATATAATATTTGAGTTCATAACAATTTGATTGATTCCCTCGTATAAATATCAATATTCGGTTTAAGGAGGTACAATGTATATCCTGTATGAATATATTCCGGACTATTAGGAATATGTTGATGTTGTATGTTGATGTCGGATGTTTTAATTTTTATTTTGAGCTCGAGAATATTTGCAAAATTGTATATATCAAAATAAGTAGATTTCGAAAATACAGATATTTTTTTGGTTCTCAGTATTGTCGGTGTAAAATTGTGACATAGCTCAACAAATTCACCTACAAAAGGATTTCTCCCTAGACGATGATAATGATTACATATTAGAATTTAAAGTGTGAATCAAACTTGCATTAGATTATTTTCATAGCATTAAAGATTTAAATCAAGATTTGTAGTCTTTTTCTTGTTAGCATATATCAATTTCAATATAAGAAAAAGTAACTACATGTAGTTATTACTGCTAAATGTATATTTGTTTTCATTTACTATATGAAAAACATAACTTAAACAAGCCTGGCATTTACTTAACGTGCATTCTTCTAAATATTGACACTCTTATACTTACACAATACAAAAAAAATAAAACTTGTTCTCATCACTTTTCGTGTTAAAGAACACTGTAACTCTACGGATGGCAAACTTTTGCAAAACTAAAACACTGGATCAGTGAAAAAAGTATCCCGCTGATTTTTATTCAGAATATTTCATTACTAGAAAGACATAAAATGTTATGATAATCCAAATAAACATCTATGAATTCGAAACACATAATTTGCGGTTAAAATGAACCTTTTGTAAGTATCTGTCGTACAGCTAGTATTTCATTGAACAATTATTCATTAGTTAAGATAATAGGTATAATTTGCTTATTCCAAACTATTGAATTTGCTTGTCGAAACTCACATTTTTATTTTATATTACTTATGTTGTAATGCAACAGAAATGCGTCTTTTGACACATTTCAAAATCTGATCTCGACAGGCTATTATCTCACCAAAGGCACATGGCTTCTTTGCGTGTCAAAGGAAAGTCTACTTTCAAATGTAAGGGTTTTCAGTTTTAACCTTAACTTGACGTATACAGTCAATATACATCTACAGCTAAACCATTTATCTGTTGAGTTAATCGGAAAAAAACATATTAATATCATAAACAAATAACTGACCAAAAATAAATATGACACTTCCAAAAAACAAATTTTGGCACTTATTGATGGAACTGTCTTTCACTTGATATGTTTCTCAAAAGCTAAGAATTTCTCTGATAGTGATTTACATATTTAACAATCCATCTTTAAGATATCTAGAACAAACTGAATATCTCAGCAACGTCACCATCAACAAAACATTCTTTTTAAAACAAAAAATGGTTTTGCAATATTATATCTGTGGTTATAATCACACAATCATAATCATTTCTCTATAAAAGCATTGTACTTATGATAGTGTAATGCTAAAAACAAAACCATTTACGATAAATTTGTTTTAAAATGAAAAGATGTGGTATCTAAAATTCACTTTATTTTCACTGATATTAATTTTCGCAATTCCGTTTCAAACAACTTCAAATCTTCAAAAATCTGAAATATTATTTGAGCATTACTGTCCTGAATTTTTTTCAGTTCTGTAGAAAATGTTCAAAGAAAATACATGATTTAAGTGATTTTTAGATTCGGTCGAATTCCTACTCAGTTTTGAAAACATGATTTCCACCCTTTTATGAGTGTTAACAATACGATATGCATTATCTAAAACTTCTGCCATTCAGACACGACGAGGAACACCCTCGCCCACACACGTATCTTTTGAAAATACATATATGATAACTATCCTCACACCATATCGAGCAGCTAATTTGATATATCTGGAAATTTATGTTTTGTCAACCTATGTATTTTTTTCATATAGATTATTTCTTTTCTTCATAAAATGAATGTAAAACTGTTAAAATGTATATGATTGAAATCAGGTTATCCGGCTGACGGACTTTCCGACGACGCGCATTCTTCCGGATCATTTTCTTTGTGCATTATCTTATGATACCAGTATCATTATTCCTGCACATTTCGTCTTTCTAGACATTATGTTGAAGAATAAAATATCCAAAACAATACTACTGTATTACTTTTAACAATGTTAGAAGTTTTCAAAACCCTTCATTATTTGTCCTGGATTTTTTAAATGCATTTAAACTTCAATACTTGTAATCGTGGATTGTCCATGGAATAAACCTTGAATCATTGAATTTTAAACTAATTTAAGCGTGTACCATATGCATAGGTATATTTCTGTAGTTTCACATCAGTAGCACGGAGTATAACTTTAAAATAACACAGGCACAAACCAATTAGGATTCAGCTTTCAACCAATCACATTTCATCATTTCTAATCAACTATTATGCTGAGTCCATAAACGATGTCTACAAAATCTCCTCGAAAGCATAACCACCACTTCTTTTTGGCATTTAGAAGTCAAGAATAATTCACCACCTAACACAATTTACATCACAGTGTTCAAAAATTACTTTTCTTTATCGTAGCCTTGAGCGACCCCTTTTGCCATAACCGTCAGACCAGCTCCCATATATAGAACTGGCCATGTAACGTAGTCTACTTTATCGCCCGAGAGTGTGTAGGAAGAAAACAATTCTGTGTCGAACGGCGTTCCTCGCTCTACAAGCCATTCCATCTCTAGTGGTGGGTTCTGTAACCAAAGGATACGAAGGAGTTATACAGAATTTATTTCAAGCAAAATGATGTATGACGCTTAAATGATGCATTTATGAAAACATAAAAGCTATGCTGCAATCCAAAATGTTGAAGTTAGGTAAAGCCATCTACCATCAAATACATTTAAAATATTTTACAACAATTGCGAAAAATATTCTATTAAAACATATAATTCACTTAGGCCTGGATGGTAATGCGCAGGAGGTCTTGATATGGGAGGAAACCGGAATACCCGGAGAAAACCCATATGGTCGGACAGACTAGCCTATACCTTTGCACGTCCGATCGGGTAATCGAATCCCAGGCTGGCAACCTTATAAATAGTGTCTGTGTGATTGGTATAATATAAAGAAACACATTAGAAGAAAGGGTCGCTCTGGTCGAGTCGTTAGAAAGCAGCTAGTATTTTGTACCAGGGTGAAATTCTTACAACAATATGGTATCACTGAACTGCAAGCCAATCAAACCTCAACGGTTTTCACCAGTTAAGAACTCCTTACCTGTATAGCCATATACCAGCACAGCTCCGCACACTTGTGCACATAAGCAGGAATTTCTGGTTCTTCCGTCCGGACGCCGAGACGGGACCAACAAATCTAACAAGGACAGAACGCACGTATTAAGTAAATGATACCAACATGTCAGACTAAACTATTACCGTTGTCACTATTGAAAAGTATATTAAGGTTACTTTCAAAACAAGTATTCCATAAAAAAACACATATTGACGTGCATTTTACAGAATCTCAGAGTTGTTCGAAATAAGAATGTCTGAAGACGTAAAATTGAAAACACAAAAAGATGCAGGTGTCAAACTCTGAACCTTTACATTGCAAAGTCAACATTTTAATACTGTTGCCACTCAGGCATTTTAAAATCACAGCATCAAAACGCGGCTACAATTTATCGACCGAACAGCCAGTAGTCCTTTTGGTAGCCTCATCTTCTATAAAAACATTAAAAACTATTGAGTGTAACTTTTCTTTTATTACTGATACCCTTAAGATAAGAAACTTTACGGTTGCCAAAGCGGTGGGTTGTTAGTTTCAATTTTAAACCAATTCGTCTGCCTGTCTGCGCATAGCAGATGCGTCAGGTATACTATTGTCAAATGTTCTGTTATAAAATAAAAACAACTTTATTTAAAGTGGAGAACATGTAAAGTGTCGACCTCCATACTTTTAGTTTATTAACCTTGTTTCGGGGATGTTTGAAGATTTGTTCACTCGAGGCAGCACATAAGTGTCTCAAAGTCTCAGGAGAACAAATAATTGTTGTTCCAGTCACAATGACAAAGGACACCAACATTTTAGACAGTATAGTAGCAAGAATAATTGCACACAGAAAAAGATCATTCAAGGATACAGAAAAATCAAACTGCCTTCTTGACCTCCGACTTTTTAAAAGCTGAAAGTATCATTCACCGACATCAAAACTCAGACTGCGATGTCAACTATTTCTTGCTGTATGGATCTGCTGGTATCCGAACACCGGTAAGTCACCACGGGGGGTTTGAATAAGCTGATGATCGAACTTTTCATCATTATCAGCTTTAAATAAAGCACTATGTCAATAATGCTCATTCCATTTTAGATAATTTTGTTACACAGTCCTTCGACCATGATGAGAAAAAGTAAAAAAAGGATTTTGGCAAGCATATAATGACAAAAAAATGAAAAAGGGGAAACATACCTCTTTGACATGGGGAAGTGTATTTACTGCGGTTTTCTTCTGGAAGTCTCTAATAGCCACAGCTACTGATGTAGGAACAGCGGTCGACAGGGGCTACAACACAGTAGGTCGATGGATTCCATTTCGTGCACAGTGACGTTTGAGTTGTAGTGAACGATTTGATATTAAGTGTGCAATATGCCACCTTCTTTTATTCACACAAATAAGCCACACTTATAGATTGATAAATGTTATGCAAGTTACAACATTCTATCTAAAGAAAAGAGGTTTACTTTAAAACATGTTATTTTTTGCAGGGCATCCCATTGTGTGTCAAACACAATCTGTTCTTGAAATAAAGGTGTCTGGTCCCTGGAAACAAATGTCTGTATAATAGTGGTATAACCTTGATCACCCATTTATCATGTTATAATTGTATATTATGGTGGTCGGGTGGAGCACTAGATAACGCACTTGCCTTCCCCCAAGGCGGTCGGGGTTTTCTATCACAATAAGACCCTATCACGCTAACATACGGATAACTAGGGTGATTATTATAAGTTGAAAATGATGCCGCTTTTTTTTATAATTGTTGTAACAAATAAAGTTTAGATTTTTTAAAACGTTTAGGAAATAATGTTATTGTGTTATTGACTTGTAACAGTATCCATGGCTTTTGTCCATAGTAGAAGAAAAACGATAGAATACTGAATTGTAATCAAAACCAAAACTCAAAATTGACGAAAATAGTGCAAAAAATGAGCCTAACATGATTTACACCAAGATCTTTTAAAAAAAACAAGGGGAATAGGACCTTTTTTCATAAACATCGAATACAATTATTGAAATTTGAGACAGAGACTACTCGTTTAGCAATCAAGTATGAAGTAGATATTAACTCATTCACCCAGGAAATGTTATAATGAACTATCCCAACCTTTGAATTGGTGAAGTTCAAATGTGTCTTTAGGGGTGAATGAGTTAAGACTACGAACCAATATACTAACCTTACTGTCTAAGGACAAACAGCGTTTACACCACTCCCGCTGGTCCTCCGCCTTCTTCCGGCAGATCTCATAGCACGACTGCAACACAAAGCAGCCTTGAAAGCATTCATTTCAATTTCAAAGTTTGACATATTTAATTTATTCATGCACGATACTAATTCTAACAGTATTGGTATATTTTCCGTACATAAAACTTAAAAAAGAAAAAGAATAATTAAGAAAAGAAATTTATCAATAACAACATATTAAGGCAAAAATATTTTGATCATGGACATAAAAATAAGCAAAAGTGCTCTTTAAGATGTTTTAACATTAGTTAAGGATAAAAATAAACAAATACACCAGCCATGTAGGGTGGATATTTTTAACGTTTCTCTTTCAAAAGATATTGGGTTTCGTAAACAGATAAAACCCACTTCCCAAATTACCAATGCTCCTGCTGGTTCTGAAAAACAATAGATCTGCTGAACCGGACGTGTGTGTGTGTGTGTGTGGGGGGGGAGNAAAATGATTGTGTTGCCTCTTTTGCAACATTTGTGATTGTTATTTTTCCCTGTACTTCATTAAAACCGCTTTGGTCACTGGTGTCTTGGTTAGCACTACCTCACTTTTGGCCTTATTGTTCAACAATGGGTTCTGTCCCAATGCTAAGACATACCAAAGTCCTTATAACGTTCAGCATTTAGAGTAATCGCAACAAGTGCATGTAACCGTTTGAAATGCTGTGCTGGGCGTCTTATGCATGGTATTTCAGTAACGTATTATTCTAAAGACGACATCAGGTAAGCGCTATCGCAAGGAGGCAATTACATCAACATACATTGCATGCAGGACAACGCACGCATACATTACACACGTGAAGACACGTCATTTAACGACCTAAACTGTTATTAAGACGTTGAACCTAATAAAAACCAAACCAACACCAATTATTTATTTGTTTTGCTCGTCATCGTATATGTCTGACATAGGCCTACCGTTAGCCAGGCAAGAAGAGTGTCCGTGCACTCTCGCTCAGTCTCGTGAATCTTTATGAGACTCTCGAACGCCTCCATCCATTCGTGACTGTAGACATTGGTCAGCCGTTCGGCGATAGTCGTCGGCCTGTTCGGGTCGCTCGAGTCTGTGAGAGCGGGATTTCCTTCAATAAGACGGTTCTTTGCTACAACCCTTTATGAAAACAAAAAATGCGATCCATAAAATCCATGAAAGAATGATCAACCCATTCCGGGTCACATTTGCATGAAGGTTTATCAACTCATTTGTTTTAACTGTTTAAACCAAAAAGGTATAGGTATTCAGGGCCTGTAATCATGCAACAGTCGTTATCATGCTGAATTAACAAGCTTCAAGAAATTTGGTTTGCAGGACAAAAAAAATCTAGAAACACAGTCAAAAACTAAAATGTAGACATTCGAACGGTAATCGGCTTCAAGTCCCTCCAACGTTCCTCCAAATGATTAAATCTGAATAACTGATCACTGGAATAAGAATATGAGCTTCAGCACAGAGAGTATAGCTTCAGCACAGAGAGTATAGCTTCAGCACGAAAACGATTTCATATAGATCGGACACACATTTTAGTTATATAGCACCAACAATAACTTTAGTTAATTTCCTTCAAGATATGCATATTTTTTTCAATTATAAAAGTTAAGGAACTACAATGAGCTTCAAACGTTATTGTGTGTCTTGCATAATTTTATTGTATTAAATAATGATAAACAGAATGCGTTTTATTTTATTTCATTTTAAGCTGAAGTTATTTGTTTTATTTAGTTATTAATTTATTATTTCTTTTATATTTTGATAATTAACAGTTATATACAATGTACATTCATATCCTTTTGTTACATGTTTCGACATATCTTGTAAAACACTTACATTCGTTTGTTTTGTTTTGTGTGTGGGGTTTTTAAACAAAATGACCTTATGGTGCAATATGTTTTATTTGATTTGAGTCACTTTTTAAATCATTAAATTAGTTACATGTATAAACATGTCTAACATAAGGCACATCAAAATGTATTTTTTCTTTCTAATAAGTCTAAAAACGGCACATTCGAACTGTATGTGAGGCACGTGTTAGTGACTTGAAAGGCAAAAGGGATAACTCTCCCACATTAATAGTTGCGCATGGAAATCAATATTATGTAATATTTCAAAATTATCTTAGATTTATTACCTTTCAAATATATCACCACTAAATCAACCCAACTCCAATATTTCATTAATAAAGATAATTTACAACATGTCATGTGTTTAAACTCTTTATGAAATGAGGAAGATATCAAGGCACAGGTATCATGCATCATTAAATAAGTATACACATGATATGTCTCTTTAACGATAATGTTTAATGGAACGGTCTGAGACCCATTTTCTAGTACTATCTCATTGAGAGCGTAATACGGACTTTTAAGGATCACCGTACCTCTACCAAAAATTGCCATTTTCCCTGGCATAACCATAGCTTTGATAAACCATTTCTGAACGAAAAACCAAACATTGCGGGACTGGAATGAATGAATAAAGTAAGCCATATTCATGTGTATGCAAATAATTAAAAAGATATTTGGAACAATTACAATGATTGCAAAATTAAACTGCAATTATATTGAAGTTTTAATGAAAACCTGCGTGAGAATAGGGTGTTTTAAAAAAAAAAAATGAAATTAAAGTGGGGATGATACTGTATAACCGACAAATCATGGGACAGGAATCCTTAATATTTGTTTTATTAAGCGAATGTCTGGTGTAGACAAATAATAAATGTACCAGAAAATCAATGTTACCAAGTACCATTGAACTGGGCCCTATTTACGATAAAAAAAATGTGTATTATCACTGTTTATAGCTGAAGAACTAAAGATTGATATTTTTGTAACATGGCGTCCCACCGTCCTCGATACTCCAGGTGTTACGATCATTTCCACTCTCTGTACCAATGGAATATATCAAAGCAAATCGAAGGCACGTGACTAGCCTCAGGTAAGAAAAAAACAGTCCAATCGCTACATGGCCTTTGAAGATAACACAATAATCAATAGTCCATAGTCCATAGCAGTTTTCCTGCCAATCCCATTCTCGATACTTCAGGGGTTAAGCTCACTTTCGCTCACATATGTTACAGCATAACATAACCAATCGCTAAGGCCGATACCTGTCTTTGAAGATTACAGAGGAGCGACACCGACTTCAAAGCCAGTCAATTTTACCGTTACGCGACCGCGAGATTCTTTCAATGTACGTCTCATCCACAAGGTGGTGCACACTGAGCCTTCGATAGCGCTATGCCATAGGCCATGGTGCAGAAAGCGAAACTGGGCGTACCTCTAGAGTATCGAGGATGGGCGTCTCCCTAGACGCCTATCATCATATGACATTAGCTGTTGCGAGGAAGTTTAATCCAAAGCAAAGCATGCAATCATTTAGCAGAGATGCAGACGTTCTAAAAAACTATTTCTACAATATGTTCAATGCTATCAATATAAATATGCATTAGGCTTACAAAAATAAATATCTTGTGAAGTGATGAAAATTTAACCATTCCAGGAGGCTTATTTTCAGAAATGTTTCGAGTCAGCATTATTTCCGTTTTTTTTTTATTTATTTTAAATCAGTCTTGTATGTTCAAATCTTCTTTTCCAGTCTTTCTTATTTTCTATGCTTACTAAGTTAGTCTTACCTTTGAGCATAAGGTCTAATCAAAATGGTTAAGAATGTAGATCTGAGAATAAACGCCATACCTGTTCATGTGCTCGTTTTTCTCTGCATACATTTGTTTCAACTGTTTGCGTAGTTCCGCTTTCTCCCCTCTCAGTACATTCACCTGCTTTCTCAACTCCGTCACTACATCCGGGTGAATACGGGGTGTTCTGGGGAAAAATAAATTGTTATTTATAGAACGGCACATTTCCGTTAATTCGAATAATTCAGTTTGCGACAATTTTAAAGCATGTTTTCAGATATAGATAAAGTAAAATGTCTCCTTTCTGGAATTTTCAGCGACTTGGGTTTTATTTTGGAACTCTCCTATCAAACTACTCACTGAGTGCTCATCTTGACGTCATCGATTGTCTTGTCCAGCTGACGTTGAAGATCGGCGTTTTCTCTTGTTAGTCTGGCAATGGTATGTTTGGCGTCTTTACCTTCTCTCTCTTGAGTTTCACACCTGAAAAATACCTTGACTTATTGAGATAATTACACCAAAACTTGCGTCGGTATTACATAATCTTGAAAATGTACCTAAACAAAACGCAAAAATGTACCTAAACAAAACGCAAAAATGTACCAATCAAATGTTCCAGCTTTGTTATAACCATCAGTGTATCGAAAATTCCCCTGTGTAACAATTGTTACATTAAAAGTCGCAATCGGAAACCTTATTGAAACACAAGAAAATGTGTTGAGCTGGCACAGGGACGAATTGTTATAACTAAATAGAGTTGTCGCCCTTACTTGGATTGTAGGTCCTTGTATATATTGTAAGCGGTCTCGGCTGAGGTGGAGTCCACGGGACCTCGTCTTGGTGTCCCGGGCATGGCAAATGGATGTTCCCTGTCAGCTGAGCCCTTAATTGGGGGAAAAGGTATTAAAAAGTTATTTTACTTTAAGAACGTACACGTACATTTGTAATGTAATTTTGAAACATATCGAATCTTTTGTTACCCCAGGTTCAGTAGAGATATGATAACATCGATGAACAGATATTCTATTAAGAAGGAAGGGAGAACTGTTTATAACTGTCCAATACATATAAACTCTTTTATCACGAAAATTAATCATTGACCTCTACAGCATCGTGTCAAAAGTATTCATGATTTGCCCAAATTCGTTGTAAATCTCCTGCAGTAGACCTTTTTTCATTGGATTTATTTTGGACTAATTCTAGCGCTATATGCACTACACATCCCTGATGCACGTTTATGTTTTGCTGGTTTTTGAAGTATGACAAGTTGTGCAGGTGAAATCAAATTTACTACGCCATATTGTTCTTTTTTCCTTTTCAAGTAATGGAAGTGAAAATGTATTTCTGTGAATATCTCACCAATTTTTTGTAAATCATTCCGCGGGAAATTTAACAATATTGTCTGATATAACATCAATTAGTTTTCTGTCAGCGTGTCCAATTACATTTCAGTGTCGTGATACATGTATTTCGCTCCAGGAAAATTCAACGAAGAAGATAAAGATGGATGAAATACAGTACAAATCCAGGTAAAGCGAGAATACTACTGGTATTTCCATTTACATGTATTATGTTGGCATATATATGACATTTCGTCTTTTCGCTTTGTAACCCGCGAAAAAAACGACAAGCGACAAAACGAAATAACAGAATAACGAAAACCCGTCAAGGCAAAATAACGAAAATGACGCCAAACCGAAGTAAAATAACGCCGAAGCGTAGAAATAAAATGGTGTCTTTTCTCTCTCCTTTTGGTGCTATTTCGTTATTGAGCTTTGGCGTTATTTCGTCTTTTAGTCTTTTGGCTTTGGTGGGTTTTTGTCTTTTCGTTATTTCATTTTGTTGCTTGGCATCTTTTCGCTGGCGACAAAACGAAAAGACGAACTGTCATATACAAGCCACCACATTATAAGGTTTGGTCAGTAGCACTGGCCGTATCATAATCCAGTTTTCCATTACACAAATTTAATCAATGCCTAAATCAATAAAAAAAATCTATTTTAATTGAAAGTTATCGAAGCGTAAAGAAACGCTCCATGGTAACGAGTGTATTTGTTTCGCACCACTATTTAACAACATAATCGCGTATAAATGTCGCCAGGTCGATCCCACCTCCGTCCTTTTTTCCGGTTCCGAATATTAAACATCAATAAAGTATTATTACATTATCGATTCTGTACTTGATGTGGGATCATTAATGCATAAATGCAAACGCTGGATCTGTTATTTGAAAAAGCACAGAAGATTCGTTTTTACTAGTCTGCAGGGTTTATGACTTCAGTTTGCGAGGTACTATGAAGAGAACCTATACAGGTTGAAATAATCTAACAGAAACTTGTACAGATTAGACTTGATAAAAAACAGTGAGATTTGATCAAAATAAGCATATAAACTAGTGAACATTTTCACTGCAATGTGCGCATGCTCAGATGAACATTTCCGGTTATTTGCGAGTCAAGATTCGGTAAAGCTACAATTAATCCCCTGCAAACAAGTATTAAACTAAAACTAAAACGAATTTCTTAAGTCCCAGAATACTGTCAATTAATATTATTAACAATTATTTCCGTCGTTACAGTCTGGATGGATCCAAATCAGCAAACAAAACGTTTATGACCTTTGTAAGGAAATACAATCGATTGAAACATGAGATCTGTGTTGTCGTCGGTATTTCTTGAAGTTACGCTGTTAGATGTATATTTGAGATTGTTGAACTCAAACCCACTTGGAGGGAGGGGTCTTCTCTACGAGATGCAATGACGTCACCAGTAACGATTATATACAGTCGACCGTTACCCATGTACAGTCCCTCTCTTTGCAGGTTCAGGAAAAAATAGGTCAGGGCCCGTATTCATGAAACCGTTCCTACGGTCAAGCATGGGTTCTGTGCGCAAATCGACTGTATAGTAACTTGCTTCAATAATGTCAAACGATCAAAAAACTCAAATGTACATAGTTAAAATTGTGTTCGGCTCTCTTCAATGTTTTTCCAAACCATTGACAAAATAAGCATGAGACCAGTTTCATGAATACGGGCGTTGGTGTATGTGTACTGCACGTTATCGGAAGAGGCGACTAATGTGGGGTCCCTGCAGAGCCGGGGGTCTTTTTGTGTCTACTGCTTAGCTGACAAAACTGACCTGCAGCCTCATTTTCAATACTTTGGATATATATTTCTTCTATTCTTACTTATCTAGTCTTTGTTTTCGGCTGGTGTCTCCCTCGGCACTCTTCTTCATACAGGAATGACCTTATTATATAGCTGTTGCGACGTAAACACAATAAATCAAATATTCAGCCTCATTTGCTCGATTCTAAGTACCAATCTATGTACCCAACTTCAGGTAAGATGGATTGATTTGGTTTATTTTTACTTTGCTTAACGTCCTATTAACAGCTAATGTCCATTAAGGACGCACAAACATGTTTGTAATATATGCGTGCATGTGTGTATGTCTACTTGAGGCGGTATGCTATTGTATTTGCCTCCCTAGATAGCGCTGGTTGTGATACCGTCATTACAATGCTACTTCACCGACGCCATGCCGAAGGCACCCAGCACAGTAATCTACCCGGTCACATGTTGCAATTAACCTCGAAACACATTGCTTTCCTCACTTGGGCAAACGTTCAACACTGAGGCCAAAAGTGAGGTATTATTATTTAGCGAAATTGATTAATGTGACGGCATTATACTGGGTAAGTTGCACTAAGGTCAAGGTCATTAGTATGCAGCTTCCTGTCGCTACTGTTCTTTTGACAGCCAATGTCATTTAAGGACGTGCGCTGCTTCTGTAGTTACACTTCCTAATCTTAGATTTAATTATACTGACCAGTTTTTTGTCCATGCCGGCGCGAACTGACCGGAGCATGGTCTCATATTTTGTCTGGATGGTGCCGTCTGTGGCACTGCGCCATGGATACTGACGTAACAAATCTTCGGTCTCCTTGTGAATTTTGTCAAGGTCATACTTCAAACGCTCCAGCCGCCCCTTCAGTACTTGTCTGCTGGCTGCCATCTTTGAACCTGCGAAGAAGATTCAATTGTGAATATTTAGTCTAGTGAATATATTCTGGATATTATTTCCTATTGATTGGTCGGGTTTCTTTTACCCGAGACCAATCGAGTTTAAGCATTCTCGATACTCTCTCCACCTCTGGAATATATAGCAAAATCGAAGGCTGAGTGAGCGCCACCTTTTGTTTGAGACAAGAAAACTATTTCGATTCTTTCATGTACACCAAAAACTCTCTCGGTCGCGTAACTGTAAATTGACTGTCTTTGAAGTTGGGTGTCGCTCCTCTGTAATCGTCAAAGGACAGGCATCAGTCTAGCAATTTGTCGGGATTCTTTTACCTGAGACCAATCAAATAGCTAGCTGCGTGCCTTCAATTTTGCTATGTCAAATCTCAGGGGTGCAGAGAGCGAATCCTGTAGTATCGATGATGTGGTCTAGGAAGATTGAAGATAAGAAAGTAAAGTGAACGAGAGAAAGAGGGGGGGGGGGGGGGGGGTCTGGTTTGTTTGCATTTTTAGCTGTTCATCATCACAATAACATCATTTACGATAATTAATGGTGACATATCAATGCGGTCAATTAAAAAAGTAGGCTAGTTTAGAAAATATGCATACCGTTTTACATGGGTCTCTTGGGCATCCCAACCTTTCCCCCAGAACACACAGCAAGAATGGCGTTTTACTGGTCAGTATGAACAAATAGTTCACGGAAACGAGGGTATATTTCCCGGTAAAAACAAACATACTTTGGCAGGACATGATTTTTCTAAAAGACAGTGGTAGTCGAATTACCGGTTTTATCAACACGTATCTAAGTTATGACGTGTACTTGTTAATCATATGATTAATTATTACATTTATTTACTAAGACAAACTAATCTTGTTCCGGATAATTGTTTTGTATAAGTTCTTTTATTAGTGCTTCCTTTGAAATCCTGATCAGCTGTTTCGTCTTAGGTCTTTTATTAGTGTGTTTTTTAACTCCGGATCAGCGGGTTCGTCTTGGGTCCTTTATTAGTGTGTTCCTGAATCCGGATCAGCGGTTTCGACTTACATTTTGTAGTTCCTACATTAGTGTTTCCTTGAATTCCGGATACGTTTACAATAGAGAAAGTTATAGAATAAAGATGACTGAGTACGTGACGTTATATTAACTTGTTGTGTTATATATACACGAGAAGACGACGATTGAAAGAGTCTATCTTACATGTATGTACATGTAGGCATGTGGGATATGGATATTCTACCCGAGTGTGTAAAATTTGGGTCAGAACAGTTTGTTTGTTTGTTTGTTTGTTTGTTTGATTTTGTTTAACGTCCTATTAACAGCTAAGGTCATTTAAGGACGTCCTCCCCTGGGTGCAAGATGCATGCGTGTAGTGTATGTGTGTGTATTTTGGGAGGCTGCGATATGTTCGTGTTTGTCTCCTTGTGATAGCGCGAAACTGATGCCGACTTTATAGTGCTACCTCACTGACACATTCTGCCGAAGACACCCAGCAGGACGCCCCACCCGGTCACATTATACTGACAACGGGCGAACCAGTCGTCCCACTCTTAATTTGCTGAGCGTTAAGCAGGAGTATAAACTACCATTTTTAAAGACTTTGGTATGTCTCGGCCAGGGGACAGAACCCAAAGCCTTCCTCACAGTCAGAACAGAGGCTTTACCCGAGGTTCTCATATCAAAATCTACAACCGAAGGTAGAAATGATTGACTCATTTTCTCCCACCTCTTCACCGAAATTTGGTCAAACTGGACAAAGACAATGTAAACTAAATAAAACAAAATGTTTAGATACTTTCTTATACTCAAACTAAGGTCATATTTGGAAAGATCAGAAAGAGGTATGATATACCGTAGGTATCCCTCAAATGAAACGATCTACGCAAGATCTTCATGGCAAACATTTATGTACAACAATTCGTGTGTGTTCTTGAGGTGGTCTCGCTTGTCGGCAAAATTGTTACAGTCAGTCAAACGACGTTTTGACGTGTTTTCAATTGTGACGTCATGATAGAACGCCGTTAAATGATTGCAACATTATATTAGCACAGGTTAATTAGTACACATATGTGCGATTAATAGATTCTCTTACCCTGGACATGTGTATCCCCACCCCCTTACCCTGGACATGTGTATCCCCACCCCCTTACCCTGGACATGTTNTCCTCTCTTACCCTGGACATGTGTACTCACCCACCCACTCTTACCCTGGACATATGTATCCACACCTCCCCTCAACGTTAAGAATGCATCCATGTCACTTCAAAAATGCGATTAGCTTGTGTCAATATCGCATTTTCTATTTAATAAGGACATCAGGAGGAGAGAAAAAGAATCATTCACCCCCTTCAGGTGAGATAGGTAATGTCAATCCTTTGAGAAAGATTCCCCTATTCCACCCCCAAGGGGATGAATGTTTATGGTGATCTGTCAACCTCTTAAGGTAAGATAGAGGAATATCAACCCGAGAGGGAAGATCTCAAGAATCTTTCCCCGAGGGTTGAGATTCCCCATCTCACCCTTCCAAATGGTATCAAGGGGTTGAATGATTATTTTTCTCACATCCTTTTGATCCTCTCATATACATAATACAATGTTGCTGTTACAGTCTCAATACTCAGTTGACATTAATGCATTGTTTTCGTGACAACATTAATGCATTGTTTACGTGACGTCTTACAATTGTTTTGAATGGAAAATCACATCGGTTTATTTTCAAAATCAAAGTCTACATTAAACATCAACGAGCATATATCACACACAAAAAATAAAAAATAAAAAATAAATGTAAATATTTACAATTTAGTTATAATGAGGTCATCAATGCCGCACGCGACTCCCATATGAAGTTTGCCAAGAATCCGATCTTATTTTTGCCAAGTGTGATCCCAATATATAATTCTTTGGCCCACACAACCTACGGACTTGTCTGTGTTATATGGCACGTGAACCAATAAACTGCATATAATGTAGATACATATCACAGTCTTATTCAAATTCGTCGAATTAAATACGATATAAAACTAGGCTAATCGACTGTGTTGGAATAAAACGACGTTTTTTTGCCGATAAAAAATCAAATTTATATACATTTCTAGTGTTTATTGAAAACGTGTTTTCTTCCATTGCCTAAAAATCGCAATAAATCTTGGGTGTGATCTTTCACAAACTGAAAAATATATCAAGATTAGAATACAAAACCTGGGTTATTATTTCACATAACACTTAAAAAAAGTCTAGACTTTAGTTTTTTAATCAATGAACATGAAAGCCATACTCATAAGACTTACTTGTAGCCGGAGAGCAGTTTATTAGTCGGTGTTCGTGTAATGTATCCGAGCGGAGTCCGGCGAGATAGATATAACGCTTGAATCAATTGGGTTTAAATTACACCGTTAACGTCCTATCGACTGTTAATGACATTTGGTGGTATATAAAAACACCTTTCCCCTTGATGTACTATTTTGTACTGTTAGTCCAAATTAAAGTCAATTGATCCGACTGGTACCGGTCGCTCTATTTCACGAGTGGTACTGTACGGCTACGTAAATACGGAATAACCGGTCCGGTTTATCAATTATTCTGCCCCTTTCAGCTGTTTCACAACTGACTAAACCCAAAAACAATAAAGCGCTTTAAAAACATTCTAGCAGTTCACAACTGATTCATTATTCATATATGCATTGTTCCACAAATACCGTTCAATACAAAAATTAGCTTTAGCTCTGTGTTCAAGTTACGTCCGTTTAAATACATTTGTATAACAGTTTGGGTATATGTCTAGAGCCGTATAGACTTAACAATTATTTACAAGAATTAAATATAAAGATTTTAGCTTACCTTGATGTAGATAATGCAAAAGTCACAACTCAAGTCCGTAAAGTAGTCTTCCTCGACAAACCGCCATGTATAAATTAATTAGCTTGTTTCCCTTCAACACGTGCAGTAGTGACGTTTTATGTATGCTTTTTTCACAGCACTAACGTCAATAGATCTTTGTTCACGTTTGGTTCAAAAGAAAATATCCTTTGTTTTATGTAGCGTAAATACACATCTATATTGGTGTCATTCAAAAAGAAATAGTTGTTTTAAATTCTTGATATGACAAAATATATTTATCCGTCAAAGGTGCACTTTACCTTGCCCATGAATGGGCTGGCGATGGCACTCTGGGTAACCCGATCGCCGGTGGCGTTGACGAATAAAAATTAAACACCACGTGATCAATCAACCGGAACCGTCAAATATAAACCGGATCCGATAAAATCTCAACCTTTGTTTTTTTATTCTTGCCAATACACAGATATCTTATCGAGCGGAACACTAATTATTTTTAATCAAGCTTTTGAATGTGTATGTATTGATCCAATTAATGTTCGTTTGTTGTAAGGCAGAAACAACACATATTTGTACGTAATCAAACCATTTTGTTTCATACACGGCGCACGGTATCGAGTCACGCCTATCAATTTTAACCCTTTATGACGGCTTTATTTATAGACATGAAAGGTTGCCTTTACCCAAACAAGTGTAACATTATGTTAAGATAATAGGTTGTGTCACACAGGTAAAGTAACCGTACATGATAAACGACATAAGATATTAATCATGCGAAAATATTTACAAGTCAGTCGTTAGCACGATATCACAGACCGATCTAGACCAGCATTTGAGAGAGAGTTATTCCCCTTTGTACGTAGCTCTCCTCGTTTTCGAAACTCAAAATACTAAATTTGAAATAAATAGATAAATATAAATCAATCAATTTAAAGTCAGTAGTAATATATAGAAGTCCTTCCCTGTAAATATATTAGTTATTTTTCCGTATTCACAAACGAAGACAAAAACGTATTGCAAGAACTCCATTTTTTTTTCATGGTGAGCCATCCTTCATCATACATGTACCATTTACAAGTGACGTTTTCTTCACCGATTTCCTATACGCTTATTTAAAAGAACTTGTGCTACAAATTTATCACATCACATTTGTCACCATCTAAATATTTTTGTATGTTAAATCTTGTTTTGGGTTGTGTTGTGTTAATTCCTTTTATGAATCATTGTTTTGTTAACCTGGACAATAGCAAAGCGTTAAATCGATAAGATGACAAAGAAAAGAAATATTTTCAAACAAATAACCATATTTATCGTCTATATTTACAATTTGGGGTCCCAAACTGTTTGAACAGCTATAGTCTTTTAAGGACGTGCCAGGTTTTGGTGGTGGATGAAACCGGAGCACCTGGAGAAAAACAACCGACCAGCCGCCTTAACCAGAAAACCACCGCTGTTCCTGGAGTCCCACATATAAATAAGATTTCTCTTCCCGCCTCTTACAATATTGGACCCAACGTAAGTTACGTCATGCAAGTGGGGCCTGCTCGTTTCGCCCTAAACAGGAGTTTTAGTTGTTTCATACCAGCAAAGCCTCTCTCATACAAACAGTGAGCCCTGTATTAGGCGCCTCATACAACAAGGAGTTACCATTACCAACAGACAGGAGGTGACGTTAGGCGCCTCATACAACAAGGAGTTACCATTACCAACAGACAAGAGGTGACATTAGGCGCCTCATACAACAAGGAGTTACCATTACCAACAGACAGGAGGTGACATTAGGCGTTTCATACATCAGTTGGGGACAAATGACGCTTTAACACAGCAGTTATGTACATAACTTAACTGTTGAAAGCCAGACTATGCTATTTTTTTCATACGACCAGGGGTCCCGCAATGGCCGCTATATGAAAACAAGGACTTCTGCAATAGTTGCGTCATACAAGAAGGGGACACGTTTGTTGCCTCATACAGAGACGTATATGTAATATATAGGTATCTGCCTCATACAAGGAATGAACACACTAGTCCCCTCACACAAGAAGGGGACTACGACAGTCGCCTCAAACAATGAGGGACCAAATTATTTACAGCATACAAGGAAATAATACATTAGTCTCCTCATACAAAAAAATGGGCCCGATAGTCGTGCAAGAAGTGGGCCCTTCACACGCCAAATTCGACATGCAGACAACAGATATTCATTTAATGTTTCTAGACCTGCAAGGTTCATAATTACATCTCCCCTGAATATTAATTTTAATTTTTTAATGGTAATCTTTGCTGCCAAATAAAGAATATCAAGCTGATATTAAAAATCAAAAAAGACAAGCACTAAAAATATTAAACTTACTACAAACATTCACAAATATTTTTTGGCTTGGTTTTTTGTACCCCTTTCATCAGACGATGTTACCTCCAAGTAATATTGACAAGATGCTGATTAGAGCCGTCTCCTTGGAAACGGGACACCCATCTCCACGCGCTCAGATAGGGTTCGCTGGTTACTTCCATGTAATCGCCCCGACGTTATGTCAAACCCGAGTGAAGCTATTAATTTATCCTTATCTATAACATCTCTTATCTTACACATTAGAGGTCACTGACCTTCACGGCTCAAGATGGACATAAAAGTTCGGTAACCAACAGATATAGAATTGGGTTCCCGTGCAAGATGTTTCTCTTCTGAACCTTTGAGAAGTACTTTACTTAATCTTACACACGATACAGTCAGATAAACGAGAAGAACAAAAAATGAATAAACATGACAACACGGAGCTCTTTTTATGTTGCTATGGTAACCAGTGGCAAAATCTGCTCCCGGGGCGTGTCGCTGCTTTACGGACGCCCCCACAGAAGACAGTTTATGCACTGCGTTACCGCGTGGCTGTTCCACCGTTCTAGCTGTCGGAAACAGTCCCCCGTTGTGTGTGAAATAGGATCTTTCAAAGAATTTTCAAATAACGTTTGCAATCTTCTGGACGCCATCTTTTTAAAGTTGGTGGATGTGGACGGTAATTGAAAACCTCCGATAAGGACTTAAGCCTCTGCCAAAGATTATCTTACCCGACAGCTCGGTAAGTTTCTTTGAAAACGTACTATTTCAGCAAGATAGTTTTAACTCAAATCACAGATTTCACACAACAGATAACGTTATCAGTTTAACAAGTTAACGATCGTTTTCAGAACATTTTAAATTCTTTTTTAACTAATTCTTTTTATTTGCATTTCTTCATGTAGAAACAATGCATTCACCAATTAACGGAGAGTTAAGAGACGGTGCGCGTCGTGCAGGTTACTTTTGTTTTTGCCAGGGTTTTCTTTCTTTTTTATTGTATTACACAGTATTTAGTTATCTGCTTCAGGTTACGCATGCGTGAGTTTAGTTACAACGTAAACACATGTAGTTATAAGAAGCATGCAACACGCGTTTAACATGTAAACACTCGCGAGAACACCTGTGGCAAAAACACAAAATGAAATAATACAAAAGTGCAACTTTGCTCTCATATCACGAATTTCACTGAAAATTGTTTTTGTATGATAATTTTCTAAAATATCTATTTTCCAGTTTTTTATTTATTTAACTTGCAATACACCAGTAATAACAAAATTGTTGAATATAAATCTTGACAGAGATGAATATAGCATCCCTATTTCACAACATTGAACTCGTCAGTCCATTGATGTGGACGGGTTTACTCTGGCCTAGAGGTTACAGAGACCTTTACGTCCCAGGTGGTAATGCTGTTCTGGCCAGCTACAACTTCTAGGCCTACAAATATTCACGGTAAAGTCATCAGCCAGCGGCCTGGTATATCTCTCCCCCATTTTCACAAGTACGAATGACTGGGAAATGTAATTAAAAAATCCACATAAACGTTTCCTTCTCCACACAGATCCGACGAGGTTTCCCACTCCCACTCGTAGGTTCTAAGACAACCCCTCTCGAGCTCGGCGAATATAAACCAATGGCGGTAAGTGAAATCCTTTATCTTTCGACTATATTTTAACTTGTATGATTACACGCAAAACGTAGCTATTTGATGTGATGTGCCCGCAAAAACAAGTCTGAAAGATACAAAAGCATAGTTTCTTCTCTAAAGTGTACAAAGTTATTTCGTGTTTTGTCCTAAATTGTGTACAATGACACCTGTCCTGTTCAATTTTTTTGTGGGACATAGAATACTCGTCAGGTAAGACAGGATGTCAGACCACGAAGATGGTATCTGGAAATTATCATTTGAAAGGGATTAGCATAATCCTTGTTCAGACAGAATAGCAAAATATTGGGGATCGGATTCAACAGGTTCTACTGCAGTAGGTTGTTTCAGAAATATCGTTATTCCGATAATGGCAGTGTCCGGTCTGAAGAGGTTCGACAGTCTTCATAAAACATCTTCACTTATGAGTATTGCTAAGCATATGATCACTATGTAATGATTGTCAGCCACTCATTTGATAAACATCTAAATCGATTACATTTGCAAACATTATAATTGGTTAGTTCGGACACAGTCACAGTTTCAAATCGGAATTTTTCCATCAAATTCCAAATAAATCTGTTGTTTTGATACTTAATGTGATGGTGATGATAAGTTTGAAATTTATAAGTAGCATGTTTACGCTTTACCTTTGATATATATGAAAATATGAGCGAATAAGCGTTTTCCAACTACTGAACAGTGAAACTTGTCCAATCAGACTTCTGAGTATTCCGACATCCTATCCAAGTATTCGTATATGTTGTCTCACAGAGTACCGGACTTGACAGGTTTTAATGTATTCTAATACAGCTTAGTACTTAAGTGTTGGTCAGAAGCTTTGACCAGAAGCAATTATTCTACAACACGTAGGGTTACTTATAAAACAGTTCGTGGTCATGCAGTGTACGAAGACTTGATACTTTTCACAGGTGTGAAAACATTTGCATTTAGAACTAAATCACTGTTAAACTTGTCTAACACGACGGCCTGTCATGGTGACACAGCATATTGGTCATATCACACAGGGTGTTCGAGTGTCTTATTTGAGGATTTTTAGTATAATCGATGTATAACATTATTCTAGATCTGACCGAATGTCGGAATACTCAGAGTTCGGATAACACGGGGTTCGCATTGCATCTAATGTTGTGTCTGCCAGGATCTTCTGCTGCTATCAGTACATTTGTGTACATCCTGCAATCGCACATCAACGTAAACAAGATATGTGTAACATGTGCGCCCAGGAGCTTACATCACATGCACTGTAACATCTGCGCCCAGGAGCTTACATCCCATGCACTGTAACATATGCGCCCAGGAGCTTACATCACATTCACTGTAACATGTGCGCCCACGAGCTTACATCACATGCCCTGTAACATGTGCGCCCAAGAGCTTACATCACATGCACTGTACCGTGTGCTCCCAGGAGCTGACATCACATGCCCTGTAACATGTGCGCCCACGAGCTTACATCACATGCACTTTAACATGTGCGCCCAGGAGCCTACATCACATGCACTGTACCGTGTGCTCCCAGGAGCTGACATCACATGCCCTGTAACATGTGCGCCCAAGAGCTTACATCACATGCACTTTAACATGTGCGCCCAGGATCTTACATCACATGCACTCTAACATGTGCGCCCAGGAGCTTACATCACATGCACTGGAACGTGTGTGCTAAAAATGCATTGCACTCCGAAAGGTTTGAAATATTTCTCTATTTAGGTCGCGAATTGATATATGATGATGTGATGTGGGCACATCTGTTACTAGAGGTCAAATGTCACTTCAGGGTTGATTACTCTTCAGGTCTCGTAAAAGGTTCATACTTATTTTGCTGTATAAAATCCACAAGACACGGTTGCCCTTCTGTTATGCATATGTCATAAACTACTGCCAATACGAACGTTTTTAGTCGGCTTTTAAAGGCCATTGGAATGTGTTTTATAGAACGGTCGTTTCGCCGGTGATAATGGTAGTGCCATTCAACCTGGAATCCATTACGGTTTGTGGTTTTGCTTGTTTATATTCCTCGTACCCTGCAACACTACGCGAACACGTGGTTCTCGTGAGAGGATGTGCAAATGCACGTGTAGAAAAAAAAGCACGTGTGATATGCGGTTTTTAGATTTTTCGATTGATTGATGGTGCCTGTCGAGTTACGAGTATCTAAGTTATGTTTAAGGTGACTTTTTTATCACCTCTCAGCCTGGAGGTTTTCTAAAATAACGCTAAGTGTTAACGAATATTTTAATGCTATAAAAACAACCCAAAAAGATATCGTCATTCCTGATCTTCATTTTTTATACAAGGTTACTTTTCTTATCTATAACGGCGAAATTGACAACAGGTGAAAATTTATGTCTCATTAAAGATTTCTAATTCAAATATTCACAAATTATCCCTGACAATAGGTCAATAAAACATTCTAGAAATGCAAAGAAATAGAAACCTGAAGACTGCAAACACTAACTAAAAGTATATTAGTAATTAAAGTCAACTGAGAAAACTAGAGGTGAAACTGCCTTATCTGACCACTGAGTGTTCCGACTTCCTGTCCAATCCAACATTATGCTGTAATCCCACTTTTTACTTAAAATTGATTTTTTTTTTAAACTGTGTATTACGACATCCTGCATGTTCTGACAAATACGTTCAGTGCCACTGGGTGTCGGATTAGACAAATTTGTATTGTTCACAGAAGTAATAGAGGCACTAAGCGAACAACACGGGACAGGGTAACTTATAAAATAATTATGGTTTGGGATATTCTGGAGAGATGGCGAAGGGGGGCAGGTAATGAGTGTGTAAGTGAGAGAAGTGGACAAAGAGGAGATGGACACTGTCCATCTCGATTAGTCATTAGATACGTCAACCATACTGTGAATGTACAACTAATGAATCGCAATACGTCAAGGTCAAGACACCAGAACTCCTTGACCACTCCTTCCCAGACCACTCATTAGCTATCGATATCTAACCAGCGGTCGGTCTGCTCTAAGTATTGATGAGTGCGGCCTCTGATGTTGGGAGGGGGAGTAACATGTGCTCCGGGACCTCGAGTAAACACATCCCAGCATCAACCCATCCGTGGAATGCGCGGTTGCTGTTATTGGTTTAGGGTTCAAAAGATATGAAATGTATAACATCTTTTTAAAATAATATGAGAGGCACCCCAAGGGGTATTCATATCTTCATCTTAAACCAGCTGTGCGCCATTCAAAACAGTACCGATTCTTGAAATGGGAAAATTGATACATATTTATTTCAAAACATGATGGAGAAAAACTATGTTTTATGTCGATGATAAAGAATATATTTTTAGAGTTCAAAATCCCCGAATGAGTTCCTTTTTGTAATCTGCTGTCAACACCAGCTGAGCGAGGGCATCGGGGTGTAGAATAGACGCGCGTTTGAGCATCCTCGACTGAAGCGCTGCTACATTATAGTGCGGTACTTCGGAGACTTCCCTGGCAAGTTATCTTTTACAGCAATCGCAGCGTGTTTATCAGGATAAGATGAGAGGGGTGCGATAGTCACTGAACGCCGATACATATTTACCGCAGGCTGGACTAATCAGTGGAGTTATTGGAACAGTTATTAGAGGGGTGCGTTCGTGTACACTTCTCCGGCGTTACTGGAAGGGTGCGTTCGTTTACACTTCCAAACATTTTTTTCCTCCACCGGTGGTAGGGTTGTGCAGCTTCCTTCTCCTTCGGGACACGCCCACCTACGGGAGGCTACTACATAGTAAACGGAATTTGTCGTTACGAGGGTTGATTGATCACATAGCTGCTATTGTTTTGACAGACCAGAGTGCAGGATTTAGTGACACCCTTCACAATCGCTGCGTGTGTGTGACAACAGTAACATCTTTTCGGAGTACCACATATACTTTGCAAAGTTGTTTTCTTTTATAGCCGTTCGGAGTACCTTTTGTTCATCGAGAAAGAAAGTGTTTAAAATTTTCCTGGAATATACAGTGTTACACAACAATCATATCACGCCATATACACTGGAAACAGTTTGGTAAGAATTTAGCATTTTAATCTGATTTGAGTGACGTTTCTTTTCATTGGTTTCTGGTATTGTTTCATCTTGGGGGGCCACTCTGGATGTTTCAAGTGTAGAGACTTGGTCAGTTGTACATGTACCGAAATAGTTTACCTTGACAACAGTTGTACCGACATGTTTACCTTGACAACAGTAAAACCGATATTGTACCATAACAAAGCTACACTAGACGAGGTTACGTTGACAACAATTGCACCTACATCATACATTGACAACAATTGTTCCGACATTTTATCTTGACAACAATCGACATGGTAACCTTGATAACAGTTACACCATAATATGGTTACCTTGACAACCGCCACACCAATAATATCATTGACAAAAGTTGTACCGGTAAAGTTTAACCTAAACACGTACCTTATTGTACATTGACTAGTACCGGTACTATATAAGGAGCTGTATCGGTCATTTACCTTGACCTTGACAAGAATCAGTACTGAACCTCGTCTGTTGTTTTGACAGGGCTTAGTGCGTTCCCCCGACCATGAGGAGATCTGGTGTGTACATTGTTAACGAACCCGCCGAAGACCCGCCCAGTACCGAAAACGGGGGACCTGATCACGTGTATCTGAACAAAATGACGGAAGATGGCGAGAACGGAATGGGAGAGGAAATGATGAACGATACCGTCGGAAATCCGGTTGAGGCGTCCACACCCACACCAAAGAAATCCAAAAGGGTCCGACTACCCTCTGTGTACAGGTGAGTAGTTTACCTGATGTGACGTCATAGCGGCATCTTTAGAATGAGTCTACATACACGGGCCATAAGTAACAATGTGTTTGTAGAAAATGTGATGTTCCATTAAAATTAAAATCTCAGGAACATGACACAATTTGTGTATGGCAGAGTTATATCATTAAGTTAATATGAGCTATACCATACATAACCAATGCCTTGCCCAGTGGTCACTGAGTCGCATGTTTCCGCTATTAAACATGTCTCAGAGGGAATGACATTCAAAATAATGAATGAATTGATTTATCTTGAAGTTTGAAAATAAATATACATGTATGTAACAAGAGGATATTCAGACAATTTTAGGTTCAACATCCTAAGATTAGTCCTCCCCTGACATACCAGCGGTAATTATCGTAGCGACACCTGTTGGACGGGAATGGTGCCAACGTCTGGTGATCTACTTGTTCCGGTGCCAAACAATAGCGAAATATTACTAAAACAAGAATGCGATAACTAATCCCGGATACAAACAGGTCTTCTGTCAATTTTCTAGTTTCACCTTCAATTTCTTCTTCTTTACGTTTTTCACAAAAGCCCTTTTCCAAAATTTGTTTACATGCAATAAGTGCCAAACAAATTGATATCTTATACTTTAAATCAAGCTTAACAAGCAATTGTACAAAGTATTCCAATCCCTTTTTCCAAACTTAATGAGACACTGCCGCCCGTTGGCCATATTCAATTGAAATACTCATTATTTTTATTAATATTCTTTCTTTTTTTTCAAAAACTATTACAGACTTTTATTTTCGTTGATCAAGCTGACAATACTTTAATGAACTTGATCACATGCTTTGTTACATGTACGTGTCCTCATGGATTTGGGCCGTGACGATATTGCACCAAGACGCGCGTGAAATATTTGGCTACGTGTGTAAAATCTGTCGATCAAGACTTCAGAGAGAGACGTTGTGATAGTCTCGGTAAAAATTCTGAAGACGTGATACACGCAACAACTATTTAATCTGTATACTTTAAAATAAACTTTGTGCGATTTAAGAGAACCGTAAAAACATGCTATGGCGGGCACTGCCCGATTTAATTGAGTGTTTGCTGCCGTCTTCAATTTAAATTTCGCATTTCAAATAGTTAGAACCTTGAAATGTTTATGTCATTAATCTAACTACGTCGTATATATCGCTTTTCATTAACAGTCTGGAGTTTCAATGTCACTCTTGTAGGAAAAAACTGTATCAAGTAACAGATGTATAAGTTATTTTATATACAACAATCTTTATTTTGCGAAAATGGGGTCGATTTCATTACTTGTATCAAAATGATGTTGATGGAATCAAAGGGGCATTAGTTTAGATAAAGTTTTGGGTTTGATCTGAGTTTCTGATGAAAATTTCCTCATTCTTTTAAAGTAAAGTTACTTGACATACTACAGTTTGCCATGACAACACAATTCACATTTATTTATGCTAATAGATCATTTGGATTACTTGCTTTGTAACCAATAAATCTCAAACTGGCGTCAGAGTGAGATATTGATGTCATGACGTCAGCACCTTATGTATCGATACTGCTTCAATCAGAAAAAAACTCGCATGAATTTGAACAGGAAAGCAAAGCGATATTTAGAACGACTCTACTCCAGTTTATTGACCTAAGCAATGGTATGGCTGTGTTCGGATGATCACGAAACCGTACCGGAAATGACAGTGTTTTTGTGTGCCAAAACCACATTTCTCCCTTAATTTAATTTCCGATAGAGATATACCACAAATCTATTAACAGTGTTAAACGATGTCATTTAGACGAGACGACTCCAAATAGTTGTGATTCACAAGTAGTTTAACTTAGAACGTCTGCTAGAGTTAGAGGTTATCGTAACACGTATTTGCTGTTAGTATAATACACGACGAGTAGTCAGGGGAGGGGATTACGGGAGGGGTAGTAGTCAGGGGAGGGGATAACGGGAGGGGTAGCGTTACATATGACACTAGTAATGTGAGTGCGAGGAGTCAGGGGAGGGGATTACGGGAGGGGTAGTAGTCAGGGGAGGGGATAACGGGAGGGGTAGCGTTACATATGACACTAGTAATGTGAGGGCGAGGAGTCAGGGGAGGGGATTACGGGAGGGCCAACGTTATATAGAACACTAGTAATATGAGGGCGAGGAGGGGAGGGGACAAGGGAAAGGGTGTGACAAATGGATGTATATCCTTGCACTATAAATTTGTAGTAAGGGATGGTGAAGAGGGCGGGACGAGACGGGGCGAGCGACACAGGGAGTGACAAAAATATAGGGAAGGAAGGGATGGGTAAAGGAGAAGATGTGGTTTGATTTGATTTAAACAAGTTTTATTTGCAAAAATACAAAAGGGAATAGACAAAAGTTTCTCCCTTAAAACAGTAATGATGATATATACATATGGAAGATGTGGGAAGGGGAACTAACGATAGAGGACTGGCGACATGCATATGGAAAGTGATAGATATAGGGAGATATAAGAGAGGGACAGGAGGGGAGGGGAGGGTAGGATCTGAACGTAGAGGGCGGGCGACACGGGGAATTATTTACATATAGGGAGGGTAAATAAGGTTGATGAGAAGAGGGTATGGGGATATGGGGAAAGTTGAAGGAGTCTGCTGGACAGGGGCAGAGAGTGGGGGGGGGATAGGGAGTGGGGGAGGGAGGGCAACAACTATTAGACACGAGTTTTACATATGCACATACATAGAGAAGGAAGAGATAGGATTGGAAAGAAAGGGAGGAGACAGCAAAGACGAGACGCAGGACATAGAATGATATAGGGAGGGGGAATGAGGGAATATTATCACGCGCTATCTTAGCTTACATCACCTTACACAACGCATAACTCGCACTTGAACAGATGTTTTACGATGTTACATAGTTTAGCTTACAGAGTTATCATCAAACCTGGGTTTTTTATACGCGACAGTGTAAACACGCAGGGGTAAAAACTGAAGCCACCTATATCATTGCGAATCATTCTATACGGGTGTTACCAAATGGGAATACAACTATGACTGAGAAATATGTCAATATTTACGATAAGTTTGTCCTTGATTCATCGTTGTAAGTTTAACGTATTGTTTAATTGGGTCATTACAGTATGCATCACCAGCTGTTGCTACCATCGCAACTAACCCCCCGCCCCCGGCCTACTCCTCCTCCTTTCGGGCGACATGGTAGATTACACATACAGAGGGAGTGGAAGTTGGACAGGTGATAGCAAGGAGTCCATCTTATCCATCGTCAAATATACTCCCTCCTCTTCTCCACCCTTTCAAGTATTATTTAAAGAAAACGTGTCCCTATAGTTTCGATGGGGAAGGCCGCGTCTCAATACCAGCGAAACTTAATCCTTTTCATAAGTTGGACAACAATGTCGCCCCTATTACTTTACCCTTTGTTTTATTTATAACTCACGTACTTAAAGTAGTCAAATACTCAGCATACACTAGGCTAATTGGTATACGTACTAAACGTCAGCGGAGACTCCTCCGTCTACCAACTGGAATTTCCAAACATGTTTAACATTCCTTAATAAAGAAATTGACAAATAAAAAATGTACACACATGAAAAGATTTTTTTTCAAAACCGTGATCTACTGATTTTCCATATGAAACCCGGATTAACGATATTTCGCTAATTTCGGATAAACCGAATTATGTACTACCGGACTATCATATAATCTTACATACTTCGGAGATACAAAAACGCTATACTATAGATTTCAACGGATGTTCAGTAAGAGGTTTCACTGACATAGCATTGATGAGGTCCCATCAAATCTTACATATATATATATACTTTGTAGATTGTCAATGTTAAAAGGATAATAGAAATTACGGTACACTACTTTTACTGACGTCATAATTTCGGGTATATGGAAGTCCGGATAAACGACATTCCACGAGAATTATATTTCGGTTATTATACATTAAGATACACCAAAACCTTTTGCGATAAGCCCACTGTGGAACAGCTGTTCTTTTATTTATAGATATGTATATATAATGGATTTATACGTATACTATGAAATATGACACATGATGAACACTTTTTTATGTTACTCAATGAAGGTCATAGAGATAACGGAACCTAGTCACGTGCTCGGAAGCACATATCCTAATAGAACACGTGGATGCCTACTTAACTTAGCTTTTTTGCGACCTTTACATTAGATGATCACATAATGAGATAAGGGTCACAGGAAATTAATATAGATAAGTCGAGTAGAGGAGGTCTCGTAATTCCGAAAGGTGCTGGGTCACGTGCGCACGGCCACGGCGCGTGCGGCGATGTCAGATGGTTGGCCAGCTGTGACACGTAACCCATATCACTCCGCCACAGGAAGCAGCGAGGAGGCAACGCGATGTTTATTAGAACTGATAACTACATTATATCAGAGATAAAAATGGAAATATTTACTGTAGATTCTGTCTTCTGCTCGGGATATTGGCTAACATTTTGTAGATACATGAATACGTGATATAATTTAAGATGGCCGCTTTTAATTTTCATAATGGGCCACATGTAACGCTAATGATCTTCTATAGACCGTTCTTAGTGTATTTACGATAATAAATGTTTATAAAAAGTAAGACCAAAATGCGTTATGTAATATGAGATAGATATTCACACTAGAGTTTTATCAACCTTCTACAGTCGTATGCAACGAGTTAAAGGAATGGGTGGTCTCGTTATATTAGCAAACCGCCAAATGCCTATCTCTCGTGGGTACTCGTTAAGACACTTCACGTGCAAGCGCATGCGAGTTGTGACTCTGAGGTTAAGATTCTGTTTTCCTTGTGATGTGTGTTAATGATCCATGAATTCAAACGTGGTATTATTGTGGATGCCATATGCCTGTATGAACTATTAATGAGTCATTATTACGAAATCTGCATCAAAATCTGACAATGTATTGAATACGATATCAAAAGAAAATGCATTGTATCTCTTTTTGATTAGAAATACTTTTCG